ATCCATATTTTTAATCTAAAATTCTTCCCCATAGGAATCTGTTGGTTTACCCAACCAGGAGTGCTGAAAAAAAAAAGAGCCAAAATGGCTGCGGGTTTCGAGCAGATATTTATTTTCATTTCCCTTCCTTCCCTCATAGGAATCTGGTGGTTTACGTGGTTTACTCAACCAGCAGCACTGAAAATGAGCCAAAATGGCTGAGGGTTATGAAATCCAATGGGATCTGATGAGATTCATGAGATTTTAAGTATCAAATCTTACGAAATCCATTGGAATTCTATGATGATCTTATTGACTCAAGCCATATCCAAATGTTTATGGTTCAGGGTTGCTTATTATTAAGGGGTGGTCAAAAAAACCAGTCAGAAGGTACCTACCTACCTACCTGGTGAGGGGGGTTATTAATCCGGTGTTGGCATTATATATAAATACAATATATATATATATATATATATATACGGTCCACCCAACTCATAATGATGATAAACAAAATAATAAATCAAAAAATCTACGGCTTCTTCATCCATGAAAAACATTCAAAATCAACTGAGAATCCCAGCCCTTTGGCACCGCATCCTCCGTCTCCGGCGGCGCAATGGCCGCCCCTTCTGCAGCTGCAGCGTCCGGCTGAAGCACGAAGCCACCCACGGAGACCAAAAGGATCTCCTGTTGGAATGGTGCTGCGAAAATCGGATTGGTTAGAGGTTGTCATGGTTTTCTCCTCAGTATAGTGCAGTTACTTAAAAAATCGATAAAAACTGATTAAAATAGAATATGAACATGAATCACCCCAATGATCAACAGCCTTGCGAATATCAATCTGGGATCATCTCAGATCTTGGCTTCGCGGATCATCCCCGCCTGGGTGGACCAATGTGCTGCTTGCGGTGGATGAGGCCCCCAGGCAGTCCATAAGATCCTGATCTACGGCGATCTACGGCGATCTACGAAACTTGGTCCATGGCCCCAGGGCGGGATTGAAACCTTTAGGTTCGATGCTAGGTATGGGTCAAATCTGAGTTGGTGAGGGAGAAATGTTGCCGGAAACCATGGCAGTGGATAACTGCCAGCCAAATCCACAGAGTTTCTGCATGTTTCTGCCATTACAGATCACTTTCCGCTCATACCATTGATGGTTGGAGTCCCCTTGTGTGAGCACCCATCAGCCCAAATCATGGTAGAGTAACAAACCCTGGTAAGGGATGGGCACCTCAGAGTATCCACTTGCGCTGATCATATTCCTTGTTAGTGATTGAATCCAGATTTTCGGGCGGTAGATCCCAATGTTTTGACTGGTCACCTGCCCATGATCATTCTTGGTCCCCCACCCTCGGTGAAAAAAATAACAGAATATGCTCAAGATGTTTGGCTTAAACCATTCACTGCAATTTATTTCGAAGACTGCTTTGATCAAACAACTGCCGATTCTCACGGTCTATCTTAGTTTCGGAAATGGTGTTTATCCAACCAGACTCGCCAGCATCCTGAAATGATTCTAGGGTACAACCCTGCTTTTCCTGTAGAGTTTCCCTCACAGCAATTGATCGTTGCTTTAAAATGAAGTCACAAAAATGGGTCGTTTCATGCTGATTGAATTTCATAGTACATCCAATTTTTGGTCATGAACTCCGTAATTTTAGGTGACTCCCCATATAGTTTGATGCTTTTGTTCCCCATTCTGCTGTGAAAACCGAGGATCTTGGCCTCGGGTCGTAGCTCCTCGGTCAGCTCCATCTGCACCGCCAGGACCTCCACGTGGCCACGGCCACCATCTGTGGTCCGGACCTGGGCGTGGCATCATGGCGAAGCGATGGTCATGAAGTGGTGCTAAAAATAGCGAAAAACTGATGGTCTAATATCGTATAATATGGTTTGATATATGGTTTAAGATGGTTGAATATGGTTCAATCTGGTTTAATGGGATTGTCCTACTTGATATTGCAACAGATATCGAACTGAAGGGGTTTACAACCCCTGGAAAGGTGGGGTTCTCCCACCCTATGTGGGAGGCTTGGACCCGTAGAGCCATATACAGTAACTGATGGTATGACCCAAGTTCAATGCGATTCAACAATTCAATTGTAGTGGTGATTTAATGGCATTTATACAATCAAATTTTAACCATCAACTCAACATAGGATTTAATGGGACTTAATGGGGATACTGGGATATATCACCAATCAGTTAATATATGGTAAGTGGATGTAAGTTAGTCTGCAAATAATATCCCCAACCCTCGCCGCGGGGGACACTTACAAGTCTTGGCACCGTTCGGTACGCCAGCGTTTTCACTGTTCTGGCGTCACGCTCCATGCTCGCGGTGCTTAGGAAGATCCGTTTTCCGGGCAAAGAGGTTTCATGGACCACTCTTGCGTTGCCATCTGGGCTGATTCGAAGTACAAGCACCTCACGGTGAGATCTGAAAGGAAACATGTAAATGGGCATGGGGTAATGGAACTGCTATTTTGCAATCGGGATCAATGGAGTCAAGGTGTAGAACTGCCAAAAAGTGATCTGAACTGTGAATGTCCCACAATTTACCAATTCTATTTTGATTAGCACATGAACCCTGGGGTGCCAGGGTGGGCCTTGGTCAAATTCTGACCCCTAGCCGCTAGCCCCCAATTAGATGGGACATGATTCGTGAGTTAACTGGTTATTGTGCATGGTTAATCCAAAAATCCTCAGACATAACTGGGTCTAGTTCGTGAGTTATGAACCACTAACAATCAGCATTGAACCAACTCAGATATATCTGAATAAATGGCTTTTATAGAATTACCCTGCCAAATTCCCCCCACATTTTATGTCCATGTTCATGAAGATCAATTTTTTGGTGCCTCAATGGCCATTTCAGGTACCGATTAACTGGAGGTACTGTAAAATAAAAAAACATACCATATCAATCCATACATACATACATGCATACATACATACATTACATTACATTACACTACATTACATTGCATTTAATTATATTACATTGCAATTACATTATATTACATTACATGACACTACATTACAATACAATACAATACAATTACATTACATTACATAAGATTACATTACATTACCATACATTACATTACATCACATCCCATCACATTACATCACATCACATCACATTACATGACATTACATTACACATACATTCATGTACACATACATACATACATACATACATACACACATGTATGTATACATACATACATACATACATTACATACATGTATGTATACATACATACATACATACATTACATTGCATTTCATTATATTACATTACATTACTATACATTACATTACATTACATCCCATCACATAACATCACATTACATGACACGACATGACATTAAACATACATACATACATACATCCATGCATACATACATGCATGCATTTATACATACATACATACATACGTACATACACTACATACATACATACATACCATACCATACCATTGCATTGCATTGCATTGCATTGCATTAGATTACATTACAATACATTACATTACAAACATACATACATAACATAACATTACATAACATTACATAACAATACATACATACATACATACATACATACATTACATTAATACATACATACATACATACATACATACATTACATACATACATACATACATACATACATACATACATACATTTATACATACATACATGCATACATACATACATATTAACCTAACCTAACCTAACATTACATAACATTACATAACATTACATAACATTACATACATACATACATACATAGTAACATACATAGTAACATAACATTACATTACATTACGTTACATTACATTACATACATACATACATACACTACAGACATACATACAAACATTACATTACATTACATTACATTACATTACATTACCATACATACATACATGCATGCATGCATACATACATTACATACATACATACATACATTACATTACATTACATTACATTACATTAATACATACATACATACATACATTACATTACATTACATACATTACATACATACATACATACATACATACACACATACATACATACATACAGACACACACACATACATACATACATACATACATACATACATACATACATACATTACATACATTACATACATTACATACATTACATACATTACATACATTACATACATTACATACATTACATACATACATACATACATACATACATACATACATACATACATACATACATTACATACATTACATATTACATACATTACATACATTACATACATTACATACATTACATACATTACATACATTACATACATTACATACATTACATACATTACATACATACATACATACATACACATACATACATACATTACATACATACATACATACATACACTACATACATACATCATACATTACATTACATACATACATTACATTACATTACATACATTACATACACATAACATACATTACATTACATTACATTACATTACATTACATTACATACATTACATACATTACATACATACATGCATACATACATACATACATACATACATTACACACACATACACATACACACACACATATATATATAACATACATACATAACATAACATTACATTACATACATAAATGCATACATACGTACATACAATACATATACTACATACATACATACATACATACATACATACATACATTACATCACATCACATCACATCACATTACATTACATTACATTACATTACATTACATTACATTACATTACATTACATACACACACACATACACACATACATATATATATATACACAGTATATGTGATATAACTTGGGGGTATAGGTATATCATCCCTTTACATCCCCTAGACCTGCACAAAACTCCAAGGCGCAGGCACCGCGCTGGCTGCTGCCGCCAAGCTGACCACCAGCGTGTTGGGCTTCGCCAGAGCCATGGAGGTCACCCGGCTGCGGAAGCAGGTCACGTTGCTGGCGGCCGAAGCCTTGGAGCCCCCCTTGGAGCATGGTGTGACCAGAAAACTTTTTGCTGGTCCCCTACAAACCCCAAAATAGCTGGTTAATGGAAGTTAATTCCCAAATTGCTCATGATGAGTCATAATTGGTTTTGACCCATCCCCATAATTATGGGCGTGGGTCAACATTTAAGCCCCAGAAGGGACCACAAATGGCTTAGTATATGTTTAGTACTAACATATATTAAAGATTATTAAAGCATCTAATTGATTATTTGGGTAATTACCCAATTTTGACCCGGTACCCATGCGAAAAAACGGGATGTTTTTTCATGGCTTGTGGATCAAATCCAAGCAACAAAACCCATCAAAATCCCAAATCTATTGGGAGATTTGTCCAGTACATCCAGTGGCTTCGGAGATGATGCCATCTGGATGATGCTCAGACTCAGTTGGATAGTAAGAAGGGATAACAAGTTGTAAGGTAGTTAGACAATGTGGTTGAAACAATCATAAACCTATTTATGGCGAAATTGGGGATGGATTGTTATTGTTTTTACCCACATTAAAGGATTCTCAAAGTATACCGAAAATCGGGGAGCCAGCATTATTTGTTGGGCTTTCAGACTCAGCCAAGAATCGGTTAGCCATCGGGTGCACACTTGCGATCCATGGTAAGTGACTGCCTGGGGAGCTGGAAGATGTTGGATTAAGTGGCTGATCCATCGCAGTTGCTTTGGGTGACCCACTTTAACATAGCTCTCGTAACTTCACATAGCTATAGATGATCTATAGTTGTTTTACCGAACTTAAACATGGTGATGTTCAATAGCGAACTGTTAAATTACCAGGGGATACATTGCATCACATTTGCATCACCTTCATTTTTTGTCCCTAATGCAATTCTCCTGCCCTCACTTCGACGGAGTTGCCAAGGCATCTTCAAACAGCAGCAGTAGCTTTCCTCCCAGGAATGGCCAGGAAATGACTTTGTACGTCAGCCTCTCTCTCTCTATGTTTATGTATAATATATATATATATAGAAATATATTACGGACCCGTAACATTTATACATGTATAATACAATGTATAATATGTATATCGGTGAGTGTCTGTGATAATTATATGGATTAATAAAGATATATCATGATATATCTACCTCTCTCTCTTCCATATCTTCTATTGTCAAACATGCGGTCTGTGGATGTGTCTTTCTTGTTTGGGGTGCGGGAGGGGGCAGGGCGAGGGGGGTCATTTAAAGATCGAATGATCGTTCAAACATCCCCACGACACGAGTCCTGAATCAGCTCTGGCCTCAGCCTCTGCCTCCAATGCACCTCAGCTAATGCATGTCCCTCTCCCTGCGTCTCTCACAGACGGGGGTCTCCTAATTAATTACTTTGTTTTATACATTTTTATACACCGCATTTAGGTAGATTGATGGCGGCCAAAAACATTGTCAAAAGTCCTGTGCGTGCCTTTTAAAAAAATGTGTGATATTGTGCGATATTATAATGTTAGTACTTGCAGGTGTGCAACATATTCCAAGCCATGGCCTATGTGATGAGCTCTGGCCAGAAATGGCTGTGTAATTATCTCATATGTGGTAAACACATGTAATACAAACACAACAATAAACCATCCCCAATATCACCGTTTGGATGGATGGTATAAACCAATTCCCTTAAATGGTAGGTTTATCGCAGTGGGTTTACCACAGTACTAACTTCCAACATCCACAAACGCGCTTCAACCTGGAGCGGATTCTGTTTCTGATTCACCCACGTCCGAAGCCATGGCGCTCATGATTTCGAAATTCTGTGCGTCCGCTTCATCGACGCCCAGGGGAAACACACCTGGAGCGCCACAAACAGTTTGGTTACTAGCTGGGCATTACAGTCTTTGTGATGCATGGTCCAACAAAAAAAGTAATCTACAATCCTATCCAAACATGGTCCAAATGAAGTGAATGACATGTAATAAGGAAAAACATGTTTCTCCAAAGGATGTTTCCCATTCAGTCTTTTTCAGCCCCGCAAGGTCCCAGGCTGGTCCCAGGTACTGGTGCTTTCTATCAGGGCAGGCTGATGCTTGTAAGTCTCGAAGTCATCCAGCGGCACATTCCCAAGTTCCAGCGGCGGTTGCATGGCGATGGGACTATATGGACTCTGATGGACTATGCTGCTGTTTTTGGAAATATGGAATATATATATATATGTATAATGAAATTTGATAGCCCATGCTGCTATTTTTTTTGAAATGACACGCTCTGCTCATAGTCACAGCAATCGATCTTAGTTGGTCTTCTGAAACCAGGCCTTTCTGCGCCAAGTGCGTTCTGCTCCAACCTCATCTCCTATACGTATAGCAACCCCCAAAAAAATAGAACAGTGGGAAACCTGAAAATCTATTTTAAAAAAAATGGGTAAAACATCATCGTTTAAACATCTTGTCTATCTGTTCGCGCGCGTGTGTGTGTGTGTGTATGTGTAGACAACACCTGAGCTGTCTGGATGTCTCGGTCCCCTGGCTTCACATCAGGACTTCAGGCGTTGCAAACCTACCTTGATGTGAAAACAACCACAGAGTCATTACTCGAACTATCTCGACCTAGAGAATTCATGAGATATCCTTTAAAACACACTAAAAGCCTCGCCTTCAAAATTCCATTCCTTTCTATTCACACCTTCTATGTACCCTGATTTTTCCAAGCGCACAACTTGGTAAACTCAGCTGCGGGGACGCCAGTGAAAGACTGAGACCTGACTTGCCTATACTTGCCTCAGTTCGTTTCTGGCCATCTATGTCCGCAAAAAATACCTGGTTGGGGAGTCAATCAACCATAGTCAAGTAGGTATTATGTAATATTATATGTAAATGTATCTCTCTCTCTCTCTCTCTCTCTCCATCTCTCCATCCCAACTAGGGTTCGAAAATGAACATACAACTGAATTTATAAGACACAGTAGAACCACATCCACAGGTCGCATAGCATATGAGTCCACTTCAATTGGCGCCAAAGAAATCTTAGCATCGCCTGGGAATCAACATCCCAGGACGCAAAAGTAGCAACTCCTATCGGATAGTCATTCCGCGGGTCCCAACCTGAGGAGGTTGTGTTGCATTATTTACCTATGGAATAACTCCAGTTGAAGTTGAAGCATTTGGTTATCATCAAATTTCATTACATAATATATATATATAATATCATAACAATGATATATAGCGCGCGTATACTCGAGTCCTATGATCAAGTGATAGGATCATTTTCCCCCACAAAATAATCAAGGATTGCCCAAAGGGCCTGCACAACTGCAGTCTGGAAGCAAGCGTCCGTTGCAGTCCATGCCTGGACGCAGGTCAGGGATGAAAACGCGAAGATCCACCAGAGATTAATACTAGACTATAATGTATATTTCAGTTTAAATATGTATACATATACACACCTATGTATATATATATATATACACCCATATGATCCATATGTATATTGCAAAATAGAAATGCTGTACGTAATATGTATACATACACTTGGATTCTCTATACGTGGTAGCGCTCCCTCAGTTACAGTTATAAGTTGCTTTTTGAAACCGACTAACTATGGAGCACCACCTTGTAGGACTACGGGTTCCGGTGTCAAATCTCTTGCCGGATCCCATTCCTCTACTTGGGGGACCCTCCCACGGATCCCAACTACTTAGCAATCGTAGCTGTAAGCCATCTATACGGGGTTTCTAAAAATGGGGGATCCCCAAAACTATGGGTTTCAACACCAAAATGGATTAACATGGTCTAATGAATCTAATCTTGGATAACTTGGGGGCATTCCCAATTTAGGAAACCTTCATATGTCAAATAACATCAGAGATCAAATAACCCACAAATGGGGCACTTACGAACCAGGATCTTCAACCACTTACATCCACTTACGAGTGATCTAGTTGCGCCGCCCAGATGCATTGCACGGCACGTTCCTCCTTCAGCTCACCTTTCAGCGTCAGCGGCAATGGGAATGGGGATCTATTTGCTCGTAAAATTACTGTTTTAATGCAGATCATGATGATAATTTTTGAGAAACCAGTGGATTGAGGAACAGTTCATTTTCAAGCACACCCAGTGGTTTTGAAGGTATCTGAAGGACTCTGAAGGATTCTGAGGATATGTGGTGCTATGTGGTAAAGAAAACCACCCTCCAACTGGGTGTGCGAATCTTTGATGAAACTATGATCTGATGACAGTCAATAATCGAAGGAAGTTTAGAAGTCAAACTTCCGACAATATGGAGAGATGAAAAGCAGAGCAGGGAAGAGGCAGAGAGAAGAGAAAGATTAGAAGAGAGAAGATCAGAAGAGAAAGAGTCGTCAGAAGAAAGAAGATGCAGATGCGCGAAAAGGTAGGAAAGTCGCGAAACACTGTGTTTTTTCCAATGATTTGTGGCTCCGGAGGGTCGAAAAGTAGGCTCGCTAAAGCGGCGGGTGCGGACCCAGCTGGCCACAGGAGCGATGAAAAATTGCACGCCGTTGTGGCGCGAAGCACATTTCCAAGTCAAAATGTACAAAACACCAGGGGTTCGGACCACTTTTGGAGGTTGCGATGTCGAAAAAGTGCACGCCGTTGTGGCGCGAAGCCCATTTTCAAGTCAAAAGTGTTAAAAACTGACGGTCTCGGACCACTTTTAGAAGTTCAGATGTCGAAAAAGTGTCGAAAAAGTGCACGCCGTTGTGGCGCGAAGCACATTTGGAAGTCAAAAGTGTTAAAAACTGGCGGTCTCGGAGCAGTTTTGGAAGTTGAGATGTTGAAAAAGTGCATGGCGTTGTGGCGCGAAGCACATTTGGAAGTAAAAAGTGTTAAAAACTGAGGGTCTCGGAACACTTTTGGAAGTTGAGATGTCGAAAAAGTGCACGCCGTTGTGGCGCGAAGCACATTTGCAAGTCAAAATGTACAAAACACTAGGGGTTCGGACCACTTTTGGAGGTTCAGATGTCGCTCCGCCGCTTCGCTTCACTACACTACGTTACATTACACCACACTCCACTATACTACACTACATTACACTACACTACACTCCACAACACTACAACTACAACTACACAACTAGAGTACACTCCACTACACTCCACTAAATTAAATTTCACTACACTACATTACGCTACACTACGTTCCACTACACTACACTACATTAAATTACACTACACTCCACTACACTACATTACACTACACTACGCTCCACAACACTACAACTACAACTACACAACTACACTCCACTACACTCCACTACACTAAATTACACTACACTACACTACACTACCCTACACTACACTCCACTACACTACACTACACTCCACTACACTGCATTACACTACACTACCTTCCACTACACTTCACTACATTACACTACACTCCACTACACTACAACTACAACTACACAACTACACTCCACTACACGAAATTGCACTACACTACACTGCATTACACTACACTACATTACATTCCACTACACTCCACTACACTACACTACATTACACTACACTACAATACACTGAATGACACTGCACCACAGATAGACAGGTAGACAGATAGACAGATAGACAGATAGACAGATAGACAGATAGACAGACAGATAGCTAGATAGATAGCTAGATAGATAGGTAGGTAGATAGATAGATAGATCAGGTAGACAGGTAGACAGCTAGACAGCTAGACAGCTAGACAGATAGATAGATAGATAGGGTAATTAGATGAAAGAGAGAGAGAGAGAGACAGAGATAGATAGATAGATAGATAGATAGATAGATAGATAGATAGATAGATAGATAGATACATAGAAAATAGATAGGTAGGTAGATAGTCAGAGAAAGAGATAGAAAGAGTGAGAGGGATCAAGCACCTTTCAGTCCATCAGTGGCTTCGCTCTGCCATCCCTGATTCACAACAACCAACCTCTCCTATAGGTTTCCTATTTTTGAAACTTCCGCCACCGCCTTGTGCGGTACTACTGGTAAAACTATAGGATATATAGCATGAGATTTACTGAGTAACTGAATAAGTATCACTATGACTAACATCCCTGCGGAAGTTCTCGGACCAAACCCAGTTTTGGGTCCAGAGGTTGCACCAAGGCACCCAAGCCGCAGCATCGCTTACTGCAATCCGGCGTGCTCCTGGGGCGATGTCCAGTCGGTGTAACATGATTGCAGTCGGTTGGTGGGTCATAAACCTAGACTACAAGCATTCAAAAGCCATCAAGAGCCACTTTTAGTGACTATAGTGTACTCCTTGTAGCATGCTATCAGATTCCTGTGGCATTCTTGATTCGGTGTACCATCAAAATTGAGAATGGAGAATTTCGATGAATTTCGCATGGCTATGGTACCCGAACATCTTGTCCTAAAGTTCCTAAAGTCCTAAACATTGCCTAAACATCCCACATTTGTTGACTGGTTGATCATCATTTTCTGACCAAGGCACCATGCAGGAGCCACCCAGGAGCCCACCTGTTGGGGTGAGGTTTCGTGTTGTTGGTTTCCATGCTGATTTTTTGGAATCCCCACCGAGTCTGGATGGTTTTAGATTTTACTGTAGATGATTTTAGATAGGCACCCTGGGATTGACGTGTTTTGAATGAGGCGAGCACTCCTGCATCCACACCGCTTACAACATCTGGGTTCGACTTCGTTCAATGTCATTCAACATTGATTGAATTGGACAGAACAAAAGGCCTTCTGTCCCAAAAGAAGCCAATGCCCACAATTTGATCATATCACTTTCAGAAAGAATTAATTAACCACATCCTTTCAGATATATGTCAGCAATAAAGTCGCAACATGTCGCGACATTCCCAGGATTCCCCTCAAGGCCGCATCACCTCACCCCCGCAACCCAGGGAAGCCCTACCTTGGCTGGCTCCGTTGTAGAGACAGGCGTTGTAGGGACGGGCGTCAAGGGCGGAGTGGTGGCGATGGACATGGTGGACGTGGTGGACGTGGTGGACGTGGCGGACGTGGTGGACGTGGTGGACGTGGTGGTGGTCTGGCACACATGGTGACCACTGAAGGTCCCATGACCCGGAGATAGTTCTGAGATCTTGGTAGATCTTGGTAGCTGGGCCTTCAGAAGCAACACATGTGGTAAACACAACGAACCGATTTCAGGATTAGGATCGATCTACGTGGCGTATCGCAGGCCATTACCATTCCGCCAACTGACATACACTGTGAAAACCATCCGATCCATCCACTCCCAATTTCGGAAAGCAGCCTTTCAACCCTCAACTCATCGTGGGGTCTTTGGTAGGCACTGTTGGTTGGGGGACCTGGGGCCCTTAGACAACATTCTCTGATCTGGATCAGGGGTTTCTACTACAGCTGCCCTCCAACTTCCAAGAATACCCTGGAAAAAGAGTCGCCTCCTTGCACGCGGGAGTCGCAGGGCAAATCACACGATGCGTGCTGGGTTTGACTCCTGGCCGCAGCTGCTTTTTCTGTGCAATTACTTTGCATTTCATCATTTAGCTATGGA